CCCGGAAAACGCTAAGGGAAAGGGGGAAGCTGAGCAGCAGAAACAGACCAAGCATCAGGGAAACGCTGGGAGTCAGTAGCAGACGGGCCCTCTACTGACAGGTCACGCCGCTCGCCCGACCCAACCGACCCTCACCGAGTGATTGTGCCGGTTCACGCAATCGACCACACCCGGCCGAATAAGGAGTGTACTACGGTAGACAGCCCCATACTGCTTAGTGGGAAAATCGGGACGGACTTAGTAAAAATCTTCGTAGACGGGGGAGCCAGCCACAGCCTCATCAACACTGCCACAACACGAAAACTGCGACTGCCACTGGACAGATGTTTACCTGAGATCGACGCAAGACTGGTAGACGGCACGCCGCTGGCAATACGGGAACGCGTAGACCGGGTTCGGATTCGATGTGGGGGTAACTTCACGTTCAGCCAGGAAATGCTCGCAACGACCCTCGACGGAACCGATATTTTACTCGGGCGTGATTGGCTGCGACGACACAATCCGCGAATCGACTGGACGACGGGTGAATGCACCGTGCGAGTGAACGGTAACAACATCGCCTTACCTCGCTGGGGCTCACCTGAGTCTTCGTCGGTGCGTGTCAACGCGATCACGATGAAACGCGCCGTAGCGGCAGGAGCTGACGTGTACGCGGTCGACATTCGGGAAGCCGAGGCAGCAGACAAAGGAGGGGATTTACAGAAACTGCTGGCCGACGTACCGAGTGATCTGGCAGCACTGTTGCAGCAGTACAGCGACATCTTCCCGGACGATTTACCGACGGGACTGCCACCTCAGCGACCGCACGACCACTGGATAGAGTTAGAACCGGGGGCACAGCCAACAGTACAGCGACAGTTCCGACTGACCCAGCCCGAACTGGACGAACTGAGGAAGCAGCTCGATTACCTGCTCGAGAAGGAATTCATTCGCCCTAGTTCGTCGCCCTTCGCAGCACCGATACTGTTCACACCGAAAAAAGACGGGGGATTTCGCATGTGCATAGATTACAGAGCACTGAACAGGGTTACCATAAAATCCCGTTACCCCATCCCGCGAGCTGACGAACTGATCGACCAACTGCGCACAGCCCGGGTTTTCTCGAAAATCGACCTCCGAGGGGGTTACCACCAGATTCGCGTCAATCCAACCGACTGCCCTAAGACTGCATTTCGAACACGCTACGGATCCTTCGAATACACCGTCATGCCCTTCGGACTGACCAACGCCCCCGCCACCTTTCAAATGACCATGAACGAAGCTTTCCGCCCGCTCTTAGATAAGTGCGTCATCGTATACCTGGACGATATATTGATTTACAGCCCTGACAAAGCACAGCACTTACAGGACATCGAAACAGTTTTTAAAATACTGAGTGAGAACTGCCTACTGACAAAAGCGTCTAAGTGTGAGTTTTTACAGGACCGCCTGGAATTCTTGGGACACGTTATTTCAGCTGCAGGAGTGGAAATAGACCCGAAGAAATTTGCGACGATTCAAGCATGGCACGCGCCGACCAACTTGACCGAGTTGCAGAGTTTTTTGGGGTTCGTCAACTACGTGCGCCGGTTCGTCCCCGACATGGCGAAGCTGACTGCCCCGCTGACAGACCTGCTGAGGAAGGGGGTTGAGTACACGTGGGGGGAGAAAGAGCAAGCTGCCTTCTCGGCCCTCAAAAACATTTTGTGCTCACCGCCCGTGCTCCACATCGCACATCCTCACCGTCCGTTCGAGCTCGTCACTGACGCAAGTGACATCGCTGTGGGAGCAGTACTGTTGCAGGATTTCGGGAACGGCCTCCAGCCAATCGCGTACGAGTCCCGCAAGCTGCACCCGCCCGAACGCAACTACCCGATACACGACCGCGAAATGTTGGCGATCGTGCACGCGGTCAAGGTTTGGCGGTGTTACCTGACTGGCGCCGACGTGACAGTACGGACAGACCACCGATAGTCAGAATCCCAACCACTAGACCATTGGGATAAAAGGGCTTGTTTCAGTAGCGGGTCAGTGCGCCCATAACCCCCCAGGCAAACGCGCCTGTAACCCCCCCTAGGATCGATCGGGGATCTCACAGTGTAGCTCTACTGACACCCCCCCACACTGGGAGGCCCAGGACTGAGCACAGTGGCAACGGCCAACATGTGCATACACCGGGATTCGAACCCGAGACCGCTCTGATACCATGTCAGAATCCCAACCACTAGACCATTGGGATAAAAGGGCTTGTTTCAGTAGCGGGTCAGTGCGCCCATAACCCCCCAGGCAAACGCGCCTGTAACCCCCCCTAGGATCGATCGGGGATCTCACAGTGTAGCTCTACTGACACCGATCACTACAGTATCTACGCGCCCAACCAAATCTCAATCCGCGACAGATTCGCTGGTTGGACTACCTCGAGTCCAACTTCCACTACACGGTTACGTACAAGAAAGGCGCCTCCAACATCGCCAACGCACTCACTCGCCCTACCGCCCAACTCCATGCCATCCTACTCGCCCAGACCAACCCGCTTTTAACAGGCCTATTCACCCACGGATACCGCACCGACCCGTTTTTCACGACCGGAAATTCACAGCAACTGGCAGAAGCTAAAGGAGTTTATTACGTCAAAACAGGCACTAACCGCATCTGGGTACCCGCGTACTCACTACTGAGGGAGCTACTACTGCAGGAGGCACACGGCGGAATTACCTCGGGACATTTTGGGGTAGAAAAAACGCGACAGCAACTACAGCGGTATTACTACTGGCCGGAGCTGTTGACCGACGTGCAGCAGCACGTGGGCTCGTGCCCCACGTGTCAGGTGATGAAGAGCTCGAGGAAGCGGAAGGCGGGTCAATTGCAGCCGATACCACCGCCCGAGCGCGCCTGGCAGCAGGTTACCATGGACTTCGTCACAGGGTTACCTTCGAACCCTGGGGGTAACGACGCGGTGATGGTCGTCGTTGACAGGTTGACGAAGATGGCACACTTCGCTGCGTGCAAAAAGTCGATCTCAGCCGAGGAGACCGCTCACCTGTTCATCGCAGCCGTTGTTCGCCTGCACGGGATACCAGCAGCGATTATCAGCGACAGAGACACGAAGTTCACCAGCAACTTCTGGAAGAACCTCTGGGAGCAGTTCGGGACCAGGCTACAGTTCAGTTCGTCGTACCACCCCGAGACCGACGGTCAAACGGAGCGGACGAATCAGACAATGGAGCAGTTGATTCGTGCCACGTGCGACGACCCCACGACTTGGGAGCAGCAGCTGCCGCTGTTTGAGTTCGCGTACAACAACACCATGTCAGCGACGACGCAGCAGTCACCCTTCTACCTGAACTACGGGCAAAATCCTACAGTGCCCATGACGCCGAGTCCGGACAACCCAACACCACGCACACAGCAATTCGCCGAAATTCTGCAAGCTGCCCGCACCAGAGCCGCAGAAGCAATTAAAAAGGCAAACGTCATCGCTAAGCGCAACGCTGACCGCCACCGCCGCCCAGTCACCTACCAGTCAGGGGATTACATACTGCTCGACACGCAAAATCTGCGACTGCCCGACCTACCAAAACTTCGACCGCGATACTGTGGCCCATTCCAAATCAGCCACATGATTACACCAGTAACCGCGCACCTACTGTTACCAACCGATTGGTACATCAGCCCTTCATTCCACGTCAGCTTGCTCCGCCCATACATCCCAACCACAAGCCAACTGCCTCGCCACCGCCCGCCATCCATGGCTCGCCCTGCATCAGAGCCGATCATCGAACCCGAAAAGATCCTGAGTCATCGGATTCGCCACCCCACGGGAATCAGGAGGATTGAATTCCTCGTTCGCTGGAGGGACCGCACGCCAACCGAAGATAGCTGGGTGCCCCTGACCAACATTGAAAACCACCCTGCCCTGCAAGTATACCTAAGGAGCCGGGGATTCCGCGATATAAACGCACTCGCGTAGCGGAGGGGGCTTCTTGAGGGGGGGGGGGGGGTAGTGTAAGGAATTTTCTCGGCATTCCTTACGGAGCCCGACTACATCGCGTACAGCAACAAGCCGTTGTTCGCCCGTTACTGCTAACGGGACTTCGCCAACTTCGCGCGCACTGTTTGCCAAACCTTGCACTGCTGGCCCGGCCGTGTCGGCCTACGCTTCGGGACTAGCCCGAGCCTCGCTGCCAGCATAGCACTAGCTAGCTCGCACGCACCGCGTTACCGTTTGCATATCTCGCATACAAATGTTCGCTCATGCCTTCGCTCACATCATTGTACTCATTTGACACCTTAGTGCAATTCTAGCTACTTAGATTCATTGCACCCGTAACACTACCATGGTATTACCACATCTACTTAGCTCGGATGCATCGCGTACAACCATAGAAACCTAGGGTACACCCACCACTTCGCATCCTGCGGGATCGCTTTCAAACGTGGGTGAGCCACGCAGCACCTGGAGAAAACCGCACCCCAACCTCCAATGCTGCTTCTGACAAGTTTTGGGCACTGACCATTCAACATCGCTGACTACCATCACCCATCGCCTTCTATGCCCAAGTCGTTGCAGATCGCCAGTTTTAGGGGTATAATTGTACTCCGTCTGGCAGTAGAAGACCGTTCTTCACCATTCTGTAACGTATAGAACCGTGCTAGCCAGGCCACCTCAGAACTTGGCATGCTAATTGAAAAGATCGGAAACCAGGAACAAGCACGCATATCAGCATGGCTCGAATGGCTCGACTGGCATTTACTGCCGTAGGCTATGGCTAGAGTCGCCATCAGCATGGGCCGCTAAGATGAGTTATCAGCGAGTCGCCTTTTTTCTGCGTTTACAACTTTCAAGCATCGCAGCAGTCTTCGTCGCGGTTCGTGCTTCCAAGTCAATTCGAAACCATAGAGAGACTCATGCTCTGAAATCGACAGAAGCGCACATAGATTCGAGGCGACAGATTAACTACCAATGGTAAAACGTCTGAGCGATATTACATAGAAAGTACAGTCGTCAACAGTCATTCACCATGCTAACTGCTGCAGAGCGTATGTCGAAAGTGGTGAACTGGCAGCAGGTAGCGATCGTGTCAGTAGTCCTGATCGCCACCGTTGTAATCACAAGCCAGTGCTGTAAGCCCCGACACCCGCGTCGCTGTTCCGGTTACATTTTCTAACAAATATTTTGGACGTGACCACATTCATAGTAGTGTTCCCATCACGTAAATCTTCGAGTAACCCCCATTGGCAATGGAGAGCAACACCCTACTAATTTTCGTTGGAATTATTTTGTACTCTGACGTAGTACGAGCATTCTCATACCACATTTCGTCTCATCACGTCCTTGTACAAATCGGCTTTGCACCGTGCAGACACAGCTTCTTGGAATGACGGTCCAAGCCGACCAACTGACGACTGCACTAGCTCTTCCATTGACCAGCAAGACTCTAGAAAATCCTCGAGATTCCACATTCAGGACTACGGCCTCCAGGGACCCATTCCCTGGACGTACATCCGACCGACCGTCCGCGATGAATTTACTGTCAACGGCTCGATCAGGGCCGTTAAATATTTCCATGGGACGGATATGGGTGACTCTGGAGCGAAGGCGGTCGTCTGGCCGACCGGGCAGATTGACCGGAAAAAGAGAATGGCGGAGGCGAGAATCCCTAGAGTTTCTAAGTACGGCGAGAATGCAACTCTATCTTTCTACGAGGCATTGGATAAGTACCCAGTCGAACGGAAATCGGTGCTAGTGATAGGGAGTCAAACCCCTTGGCTTGAGGGAATTCTCTTGGCGTATAAAGCTGGATCGATCACGACCGTTGATTTCAACAGACCCGCTGCAGACTATCCCGGACTGAGGCTGTGGAATATTGCTGAGCTGGACGCCTCAGATGAGTCCTTTGACGTGGTAGCTTCGTATTCGTCGCTGGAGCACGATGGGCTGGGGAGATATGGCGATCCGCTAAACCCGGATGGAGATCGGCTGAGAATGATGAAGGTAAATTGCGCTGAGGTGCTAGGTTGTATGGGATCCAATTTCCATGGTATGTGTAACCTAACCATGCTTCCTAAAGATTTGCTCTCTGCTGAAATTTACTGAATCCTTGCCCAGTCCTTGACCCCTCCAAGGCATCTCTCACATCCTACTGCTTCTTGCTTTAGCTGCCATGTCCCTCTGTCCCATTGCTGCTGTGCAGATCAGGGGCCTGTTGAAGCCAGGAGGGCTCTTCTTCCTGGGGGTGCCAGTGGGGAACGACACGCTGGTGTTCAATGCACATCGGGTGTACGGTCCCATCCGCATGCCACTGCTGCTCAACGGCTGGAAGCTGCTGGATGTGTTTGGCGTGTCCAGTCTCGAAGCAGCTTATAGGGAGAACCTGAATGCAACAATCTTACAGCCGGTCATGGTGTTGAGGTAGAGGTTTCTGAACGCAGCTATGCATATGGTTGCCATAGTAAACCAGACTTCCAGACGCTAAAGGGGAGTATCTTGCTCCTCAGTCTCTCCAAGGGCAACCACCAGGGCGCGACTATGATATTGGTCGATCAGATCTCCAGAAGAGATCCAGGGTATATTTTATCAAAGCAGCTTACTCTGTTTTCCTAGAAATTAGGGTAGTTCTCCGAAGTAAGCCTGTCTGTTAAGGCTTTGAAATCAATGTTTTTTTTGTAAGGGCTTTTCTCAGAGCTGCCTCAGTGTAATCTCCACAGGCTACATACGATACTCTTCTATACAGGGTGCAGGCACATTGTATGTGCTAGGGAAGTGATGGTCATCAACCAATCAACAGCGCTGACTACACCCTATTCTCGATAATTTCACACCCCTTCATCCCGAACCGTGATTTTTTTTGCCCGAGAGGGTGTGAAATTAAAGGGGCAAATTTTCTCCCCGATAATTTCACTCTCGAGGCGCGGTAAAGCTGTGCTGGCAGGGAATGAAAATGACTTGAAATGACCCTCCTCAGTGTTGACGATCTTGGACAATATTTGTGTCCAATGAAAAGCAGTCACGTCAGGATTGCGTTTATCGTAATCCTGACCACAAATTCGAATTTGAGTGCCCACACCCAAAATCGAAAACCTAATCACAAATGGGTTGAAAATTCGACACATGCGCATGGTTTGGAAGTAACATTCCTTTGTAGCAAATGCAGTCCCAAATTTCCAACTCAAAGCCGTGCAACGAAAACTGACACCTTGTGATTGACAAAAATTTGGATGCAACCCGAAAGAATCCCCAATCTCCCCCATATCTCTGGGCTGCGGACAGTATAAATAGCGGTCATTTATGCAATTGTCAGCTCAATGATCCTTCACGGTTCGCCAGCTCGGCAGCCCAAAGCCCCTGCTGGTGATCCCGAGTCGGGGTATGAAATTAGGGGGTGTGAAATTATCGAGAATAGGGTGTACCATCTCCATCGCCTTCGCTGCCATTGGTGATCGCAATTGGTGATCATCTCTCTCGTACACTCAACAGTTTCGCAATGGACGCACACATTTTGACGATCTTGTTTCGTCAATTCAAACTGGCAGTGCGAAGCCGTGTTACTGTTGTCGTTAAGTGGTCGCACGGAAAATGGTTACTGTATTTGCGAGGAGCTTTGTCGAGTTCCTCAGAATTTCAGAAATTGCTACGGAAACCATGAACTGGTTTCTTTGGTCAGATCGCTAGAGCTGTCTCCATGCATTGCTCCTACGGTATTAGTCTGGAAGTAGCTAATAGTAGCAGTCTTCTTTGCCTGCGTGCTTCCAAAACGGTTAGAAACTGATGAGACTTGCGCAATCGAATTGTAGCAGTTTTCGTTGCCGTAGACTTGTCAGTTCGGTCCGAGGCGACAAGTTAAATTATCGGTGATAAATTCAAGCGAGATCATTAGTACATCAGTAGTCAGTCATTCACCATGCTAGATGCAGCAGAGCGTATGGCGAAAGTGGTGAACTGGCAGCAAATGGCAATCGTCTCAGCAGTCCTGATCGCCACCGTTATAATCACTAGCCAATGCTGTAAGCCCGGACGCCCGAGTCGCGTTTCTTTCCTCTCAAATTCTTTCATTATCCGCTCATTCACACATCCCCTTCAAGTTCCCATTGTCACAACTTGGGGAGCAGCATTACAAACTTTCTTGACGATTTTTGTTCCTAAGACGTAGTAGTAACACTATCATACCACACTTCTTATTGCGTAAATTCCTAACGTTTTCATCCTCAATCCTTTGTACAACTCATATCCGGGATGTTTCCTGCAGACACGGCTTCGTAGAATGACAATGCGAGCCGACCATCAACTGACGGCGCCATCACTGCCAGTGACCAGCAAGGCTCTTAGAAACCCTCGAGATTCCACATTCGGGATTACGGCCTCCAGGGACCCATCCCCTGGACGTACATCCGACCGTTCGTCCGCGGTGAGTTTACTGTCAACGGCTCGATCCAGGCCGTTGAAAATTTCTTGGAATGGATTCCTACGATTCCGGAGCGAAGGAGTTCGTCTGGCCAAGCGAAGAAATCGACAAATATCGGCGAATGGCAGAGGAGCGAGCCCCGGAAGTTTGCCCTTATGGAGTCAATAGCACCCTATCGTTTTACGAGGTGTTAGACAAGTATCAAGTGAAAGGGAAATCGGTGCTGGTGGTGGGGAGTTAAATCCCTTGGCTTGAGGGGATTCTCTTGGCATTTAAAGCTGGGTCAATCACGACCGTTGATTTCAACAAACCGGTTGCGGATTATCCGGGATTGCGGCTGTGGAATATTGCCGAGCTGGATGTTACAGATGAAACCTTTGACGTGGTAGCTTCATATTCGTCGCTGGAGCACGATGGGCTGGAGAGATATGGCGATCCGCTAAACCCGGATGGGGATCGACTCAGAATGGCGAAGGTGAGTTTGCTGAGGTGTTAATTGCTGTGAGTGGGGTGCGGTTTCCATGGTACGGGTTGTTTAACCATGCTTCCCGCATGTTTCTTCTCTGCTAATCTTTCCTGCATTCTTCCACGTGTTTGCATCAGCTGATGCATGCGGGCCCTTACCATGTTCTGATACCCCTAGTAAGCCATCCACTCTCACATCGTTCCATGTCTTACCCGTTGCTGCCATGTCCTCCTGCATCTCCTCCCTGTCTGCGATTGGAGCCGCATCAAAAGTCTCCACCACGCCCTGCCATCCCTCCCAAGCCATGTGATCCCACGTGCTTTAACATTTTCCCTCGTTGGCATGTCCTCAAAGTTTTGAGACGTCCCAAACTCTGATTCTCCCATGTCATTTGGCATTTCCCATTCGCTGCCACGTCCTCGGAGTGGTGTTTCTCTGAGTTGATTGAGACGTTCCAGACCTCAGATTCTCCCATGTCCTTAGACATTTTCCCTTAACTGACATGCCCCCTAGCATCCCTTCCTTCCCTTGCAGCTTCTTAGATCAACGGCACACTGTGCGTTCAAAACTCAATGCATGTACCATGTTCTCACGTCTCATGCATTGCCATTCGCTGGCCTCCTGTCCTCCCTTTTGCTGCTGTGCAGATCAGGGGCCTCTTTGTCAGATTTATATGACAGAGCTACTGTAGGCTATAGTGGGGTAGCACATATGGGGTACAGTTTTCTAGGGTTTGTATTTGTACCAAACTTTCCCTTAGTCATTCCCATTCCTCGTTTCTTCTCATGGTATCGAGCAGGTTCCCTAGTGGGAACGATTCCTAGGGCCCACCACCACGAAAGTTTTTTTTTTCCTGCCCGGAGCGCGCTTCGCTCAGGCCCGAGTCGCGCCCTGTGTGCTCTCCCTACCGTCGCGCCCTCGCTAGGCCCCTCACGGCCCCGTCGCGTCGCCCTTAGCGGCCCTCTCACGGCTCGTCGCGCCACCCCTACGGCCCTTCGCGCCGCCCTTACGGCCCCTCGTGCCGCCCCTTACGGCCCCTCGCGCCGTCCCTTACGGCCCCTCGCGCGGCCCCTTACGCCCCTTATAGCCCCTCCCGCGGCCCTTTACGCCCCCTATAGCCCCTCCCGCGGCCCCTCACGGCCCCCCCCTACGGCTCGTCGCCGCCCTCCGCGGCCCCGCCACCTACCTGTGCGGCCCCGCCACCTACCTTTGCGGCCCCGCCACCTACCTGCGGCCCCGCCACCTACCAGCGGCCCCGCCACCTACCTGCGGCCCCGCCACCTACTTGCGGCCCCGCCACCTACCTGCGGCCCCGCCACCTACCAGTGGCCCCGCCACCTACCTTTGCGGCCCCGCCACCTACCTGCGGCCCCGCCACCTACCTGCGGCCCCGCCACCTACCAGCGGCCCCGCCACCTGCCTGCGGCCCCGCCACCTACTAGCGGCCCCGCCACCTACCTGCGGCCCCGCCGCCTACCTTTGCGGCCCCGCCGCCTCCTCTCAGCGGCCCCGCCGCCTCCTCCCAGCGGCCCCGGACGCCGCCCTCTCAGCGGCCCCGCCGAGCCGCCCAGCAGCCGAGCCGCCCAGCAGCCGAGCCGCCCAGCCGCCGAGCCGCCCAGCAGCCGAGCCGCCCAGAAGCCGAGCCGCCGAGCCGCCCAGCAGCCGAGCCGCCGAGCCGCCCAGCAGTCGAGCCGCCGAGACGCCCAGCAGCCGAGCCGCCGAGCCGCCCTGCAGCCGAACCACCCGAGCCGCCCTGTCCGGTAAGAGCAGCGCCTCTTTCACAGCACTGCCCTCACCCTACTGTTTGCGCTGCTAGTCTACTGCTGTCATGGCTACCCCTAGTGTCCTCGCTTTTGACGCTGAGGGTCGGGCCATTGACTTTGACGTCTGGATAGATGACCTGCAGCTTTTCTTACAGTGCGACAGAGCAGACGGCCTCTCCCTCTTTGACCTCACTTCTGGTGCCTCTCTAGCCCCCGCTGCCGATGCTGACGCCACTGTTCGCTCACAGTGGGCCACGCGCGATGCTGCTGCACGTCTTGCTGTGCGTCGCCACCTGCCTACCTCTGAGCGTGCGCACTTTAGCCAGTACAAGAGTGCTCAGACCTTGTACGACGCTGTAGTTGCGCGCTACTCCTCCCCTGCCACTGCTGCACTGAGCCGCCTCATGCTACCGTACCTCTTCCCTGACCTTGCTGCCTTTCCCACAGTCGCTGACCTCATTACGCACCTCCGCACTAGTGACACTCGCTACCGCGCTGCGCTTCCTGCTGAGTTCTGCGCCAAGAACCCACCCCCCATGTACATCACCCTCTACTACATAGTCACCCGGCTCCCTGACTCCCTTCGCGTAGTCAGGGACCACTTCCTCTCAGTTTGCCCCACCACTCTCACCGTTGACCTCCTCGAGAAGTCCCTCCTAGCAGCAGAGAAGAGCATAGTAGCTGTAGGAGCCTCTCGTGGTGACCCTCGCACCCCCATCTTTGAGGGGTGTTCCCCCTCCCCCCTTTTGCCCTCTGTTGCCTCTGCTGCTGCGGCCGACCTCGTT